GTGTCAGCTGTGGAGCAGAGGCTTCCATCTAGCAACTCATCCCACAGGAAACCCAGGCAGCCAGAACAAAGCTTCATGTTACCAAACTATCCCAGCACCATAAAGTACATAACCTTCCTGAGACAGAAGGGGCTGAGGCTCTTTTACCAGCCCTCTTGACTGTACACGAGCATGTACTGTGTGCATGCCCTCCCTGAGCACGGGAATGCATCCCTGTGTTCATAGGAACAGGTGCTCCATGCATGCCCATGAATTCCCATTGCATCCCAATGCTTATGTGCTCCAGTGTGAAATGGATGAGGAGAGTAAAAACAGACTCATGCAGATTTGAAGGGGGACTATGGGATGGATAGAAAATGTTTTCTTCTGCCTATGCATCTTAACTAATCCCTTGAATTGACTGATATTCAGGAACATGACTAGCACCAAAATTTATAGGATTTAGAACTACAATAAAATATATTGAAGTACAAGAAAATGCAAATGCTTAAGCATTAAATTTCACTGATCTTAGAAGGTTAGTTTTTTTCATTAGAGATGCTCAGGGCAACTTAAGAAATGTCTTGAAAATTGTTCAACTTGAGGCTGAAGCAAGCAGCTTTGCTTGTCGACAGGAGCATGCAAGAGGTAAAGTGACAAAGAGAGAACACAGCAAGCCCAGCTGTCAGGCCTATGAACACTGTACAGCACCAGAAAGGTCACTAACATGTTCTAAAATCCAGTGCATTTACAGACAATCTTGTTCTACTGAAGCTCTTGCACAAAAACTTTGCCTTCAGGGCCAGCAGATCTTTCAGCAGCCTCCCAGATACTGCTGCGATTTATTTGCTGCAATGTACCTTCTTTCCTCCCTTCCCCCTCCATCCACCCATAGAAAAGGTCTGGGAAAAAACAAACCTCAAGCCACACTTTCTGTGCAATTGTGATAAGGAGGCACACCAACCCCAATACTTACTAGAGAGGCATTCACTTGACATGTGAACATCTCCTGCAGTAGCCATGGAAGTGCCTCATGCCAGCAGGCCCCATTCCCTGGGGCTACATTGGCTGTGGATGGTGGGTACAGATCCATTCTCATGAGTGTGAGGAAGCAACATCCTCTACTCCCTGGCATTGTTGTGAAAAGATCCAGAGAACACAGGCTCAAGCTCAATTTACACGACAGACTGGTACCTGGAGCTTTTGGTTCTGGAACATCTACAGAGTTCAGACCATGGATTAATTGTTTGGTTTTGGTTCAGCCCTGCTGTGAATGTAACAAAACCAGTGTGTAATATCAACCATCTCCAGTCCAGAAAATCTTCTGCACTATCAAAAAAAGCCGGCTGCCCATAGCTGCAGCAATCCTCTGACTGGGAAGGGGTCCTCAAGACAAGAGGGAATCAGTGTACCAGTCTGCACAATGCAAGCTTAAGTGAAGGCCAGCAATCCCTCATTCCTATAAGCAAAGTGTTTACTTAAAAGTTTTCATTTTATTAAAACAGAAAAAAAAGTTTAATGGCTCAGTAGTCATCAGCTATAATTCTGTATTCCACACTAATTAAAACATGAATGCCCTTTCACTATTTACCACAACCCATACTTTACACATTGCCTTTAAACGTTGAGTGATGAATTTCAGCCACCCTCTCATGAAATATGGAGCAATTCTGCTAAATTCCCTTCCATGCTCTTCATTTGATGGCAAAATAACAGAGGAACCATAATTCACTTGCTATCATTCTTTTCCTGCTAACGTTTTATTCAGAATGAGCTTCATTAGTAAAGATGAAACTTTGGACTCATGACTGCTCCATGTTTACAAAACATACAGGCTCCTTTACATCGTGGTTAAGCATGAACAATCACTGAACACACGTTTCCTAAAAAAATCCTGCATACCAAAATTGCATATTTTGAATTTTTAAAATTCACTAAACAAAATTTCACAGAGTGAACCCTAAAGTCTGTTTGCCAGCAAAGCACAAGCCAACAATGGAAGTTGGGGCCGTCCAGGAAAAAAAACTGAAGCCAGACCCCAACACACACATCCTTCCTATTAAACAAGCAAATAAATACACATTCATACAGAGTAATGTGCTCTAAAAATGCAGGTGCTTGAATAACTACCCACACATTTTAGCATAAGGTTTGGTTTCTCAAACAGTACTGGGTCACAGTAAGCTTCTGTCTTTCTTTTTGGTGGAACTGAGCAGGGACTTCTTACTGGACACCAGAGAACAAAAGCTAACCTGGAACCTGATGATTTCGGCAGAAGTCCAAATGCGTTTCTCCACAAAGGAAAAATCACAAAGACAAGGTTGTTTTAAAATAATAATAAAAAAAATTGCAGTATCACTTTTTAATGCCAGGTATTGAACCAAAGAATGGGACAGACTGCACTGCATTTTTAAAGCAGTATGACTACTGACATACTTGAGAAACATTTTAACACTGTACATTACAACAAACTATTTAGTTCATTTCTACACAAGTCAGCAAAAAGGCTAGGTGATCTAACATATATGACAGCTGCAAATTTAAAATTCTAGTCACAGTCTAAAGCCAGAACAAAAACTTTTCCAGAACTCCTATTTATAAAAAGGAATGAACATACACACCATGCGCGTACACGCAGGCAAAAATCTTGAGGTTTTACTTATTGCTCTTACACAAGGCTGTGAGCAGGCAAATGTCTGGATCAGAAATTAGGTCAAACATGCATTTCAGCAGGCACAAAAGTACAGGAAATTCATATTAATGAAACAATGTACTGTGTTACGTAGTACACGATGGTATTCTGCTAATATAACACGTCGTTAATTCCGGATAAACTCCAGGTCTGCCTGTTGTATAATGTGTTATGCAGTGTGGTATTTTAACCTAATTTCTGATTCCTCTTTTATTTTGCACTCTCCATATGGAGATGAAGAGGGCCTTTCTTTGCAATGCCAGAGAATCCTCGGCCTCAAGAGCTTCAGTCGGGCAGGTATGGCTGGAAGGAGGTAACATTACCACCACGGTGTCGCCAGGACCTGCTCCTGGACTGCCTTGCGGTTTTGTGCATTCACAGGGAAACAAATGCAGGAGCTGGAACAAAATGCACCAGCACCGTTCTCAGAGCATCCTTCACCTATGCCATAAGCTTCTGGTACACCCAGCAATTGCTACAGGATAAGGCAGTAGAGGGTCAAGTCCTGTGTCTGGTCAGTTCCTCGAGAGTCTTATAAAAGGCAGGATTTTTTGTGAACTGGCTTTCCTTTACACAATAAGCAGTGTAGCATGGATGTCAGTAGAAATCTGGCTAGCTACTGGCAACAAGAGACGAGCACGTTCACAAGACACATCTGGGAATACCTGGTGTTCCCTACTGCAACCAAATGAAACATGCTGCGGAGAGGTGTCCATGTAATTACAATATTTGCAAGCCAGGTTCAAGGCATACTGCACATGGGCCTTGCACAAAAAAAGGCATTGAGTGTGTTATCTGAAGACTTTTTTTTTCCCCTGTGTTATGCATACATATGACAGTAGGTAAAAATCAGCACAATAGTTCCTCTCCCAACATGAGCAAACACATATCATCACAACTAAGCACCCTATTCTTCAGTTAATGGGAAACAAGGAACAAAATGGTAGTTTCAAAACAGGGAAGGAAAGAAATCCAGCATGAAGTCAGAGGCATGTTCCTGACAGAAGTGTGAGCTGAGAATGTTTATCATCAGTCAGCAACTGGATTTTGTGACAAAACCAGAAAACCAAGGATAACTACAGAGCCAACTTGGGCACTGCGTAGTCAAAACTATGTTATAATATGGCATTCAGCAATCTCCAAGAATTGGAAAGAGCACTAGGTAGATGCACTTCAGGGAGGTTATGCCTTGTACTCAAAAAAAGAAGCAGTGCAAATCAACAGTTTTTGTTGTCTTTCTAAAGACATGCCATGTGCCCCTTGATCCAATCCCTAAATCAGATGTAAGTTTCAGCAATCAGACTTGCCAAATACCCAAATTCACACTGGGCTCTATTTTACTTATGAGCAGTACCACTAAAGATAGTGGGACTACTTAGAGCAAGGTGCTACATTCAGGAATTTGGCTCTTCCCAAGAAGTGAACTGCAAATGACTGGGGTTTCATGACAGTCACAGGTGGAGGAAGACACTGTGTTTGTTTTTCACATCTGTCCTTATAAAATCATCAACATTAGTGAGACTGAAACATGGGAAGAGGCTCTGTTACACTCACCCAGACATTCTGACACCAGGACAGCCACAGCAGTTTAGGAGGGGTGGCCCACCCAGTAAGAGGTTAGACTGGCCTGGATTCTTCTCCGAGATATGTCACTGCCTCTTACTAGACGCATACAAGAGTCCTTGGTCTCAGTTCCAATGGTGAAGCTTTCTTACAGCAACACCTCTGTCACACCACCCATTAGGAAAGAGGAAGGCAAAATAGGTCTAAACTTTTCAAAAACTATGAAGTAAACCTAACCTGCAGAAAAAGAAAATTAAGAGCAGTATGTTACACATCCTCACAGGAGTCCTAGGACTTCTCATGACCCATTTCTTCACTAATGGCTATGCAGACCAGGCCATCAGGAAGTCCGCTGCCAGACTGGAGGGAAAACAGCATATCCAATGTTTACCATGCAAAGCTATCCTTCCCATAAAGCCAGTTAGGCAGAACTGTTTTGACTGCACTTTTAGGTATTCTTTCTAGCCCACTTTGCATCCCTTCTTGAAAGCTCCTTCAAATAAAAGATGCTGGAAGTACCATTTCCCTGTAGTTGAAAGAAATGGGGAAAAACGGAGGCAAAAAACAGACACCAAGGAAGGAAAAGATTGCTTGTAAAATGCTTCTTCTTAAAAACTACTGTACAACTCCCTAACTTGGTTTAATTAACGTGCCATTTAAAACATATAAAATGCTTTACCAGCTAAATGATTTCTCCACTTTATAAGTCTCCCTCCCTCCCCTCATTAAAAAATAATGCATGTGTGGACTGGTATTGAACACCTCGTACAGTTGTGCGCCAGTTCTCATTTAATTCTACGTGGAGCAGTTTTGATTTTAATATACTGTGTTTAAAGAAGAGCCCGTACTGTATACTTCACAGTATAACCAGCTACATAGAGGTCTTTAATCTGGTAACGCAATAAAAAAAGATCACTGTGAAGTTGCAGTCCCTTTGATAAATGGTTGCGGTGACACATGCAGTCCTCCTCAGTGCCACTGCCGCCAGACACGGGACGTGATTTTCTCCGCAGGCTGCCCAGAGGCCCGATGCCATCCCTCCAGGGGCCACAGCCAGGCAGGCACCACTGCCCCTGTGCACAGCGTCCTGCAGTCACTGGGGAAAGCTGCACGGAATTGTCTCGCTCAAAACCACCACCGCCGACCCGACCCGGCCCCCAGGGGAGCGCAGCCCCTGCCGCCTCAGCCGCAGGAGATCACCGTGAAGCGCTTGGAAATGCACGACATGTTGTGGAGGACGATGCCCAGCAGGAAGACCAGGACGCAGGCCACCAGGATCACAGTGCACACCCCCGACCAGGTGGAGCTTTTCACAGCGCCTCTCCGGTCCGGCTCCTCGGCTCCCGCCTCGGCGGGAAGGCCGCCCTGCAGCGGCTGCTGCTCGGCGGGGATCGTCACCACCGTCAGGGACTTCTGCTGGCTGCCGGGCAGGAGGCGGCAGCCAATGTCTCCCGGCAGCAGCGCCCGCTCCTTGGAGAGAGGCAAGGGCAGCATGTAGCACCCATTGCTGGGCAGTTTGATGAAGACAGGCGTGTGCTCCGAGGTGTGCGGGATCGCGATGACGGCGATCACCTCGGGGTCGTCGGGCAGCTGGGACACAGAGTACCCCGGAGGCAGCTTGGTGATGCCACGGCACCAGGGGCAGCGCAGGTCCTTCTGGCTGGTCCTCATCTGCTGCAGGCACACGGAGCAGCAGGTGTGCTTGCAGTCCAGCAGCTTGGGCCGCCGGCGGGGGCTGTAGTAGTTGAAGCAAATCTGGCACTCCAGCAGAGAGTCCTGGGATAAGGTCTCCATGGCGGCCGGCGCAGGGAAAGCACAGCAGGCCTTGTGATGGGCCTCACCCTGACAGCCCGTGGGGAAGGGGCAGCAGCCTTCCCACCACTGCTCCTCAGGGCAGCACCCGCCTTCCCAACGCTGCTTCTCCTCAGGGCAGCACCAGGCAGCAGCTACGGAGAGCGCAGGAAAACCTCCGGCCTGAAACTTTCAGTACCTGAGACAAACAGAAAAACGTGAAATCATAGGTTAGTCACAGGAGCCTGTGGCAACAGAAGAGTCCAGCCAAGGGAGAATGAAAACTAGCACTGACTTTATTATCTGGTGGGAGAAACAAATTTGTTATCTTTGACTAGAAAGCATCTTCCCATCAGCTTCACCAAACAGCCTAGTGGCAAACCTTCAGGTCAGTCATCACTATTATCATTAGGTTTCTTTTTTTTTTCCCCTAATTTTCCCAGAAATCAAACCCCCATCATCCCATCAGTCCACCACTCACAGTTATATTTATGCCCATAACAGAGGTAGCTGTGTAGTTCACTAGCCAGGTCCCACAGCAACAACCTCCTGTTATATTTTCAGGACTTTTTAGCCCTTCCTGCACCAAAACAACTGTTCTCATTTAATCCTTTAAATCCCTGAGGATTTTTAGCTATTTGGCTCAACTGCTAAGTCTGCATGAAAGGTGGGGGAAAGAAAAAGCAGTTTAAATGGAAGCATTTCCACAGGCTCCTGAACTTGTGCACGAATGAGCAACCAAGCAACTATACTGCAACACCTACATTTGCACATAATGAAAAGGAATGGTATCATTTTCAGTCAAATTAACTGTTTGCCCAGTTATATAAGCAGCTTGTTCAACATGGCCCTCTGAAACATAAACCTTCTCGCTAATGAAAACCTCACACGAGACAAAAGGCTCTCTTTAGACCCAGGACCACTGAACACCAGAGCAGGAATAAAACAGAGTAATAACAGAAAGAAAGATAATGCACTGAATTAAAAGCAAATTGTTACTAATCTACAAACGGATTCCCTTTACAATTCCCGTTTTCCCACTTATTACTTTCATCTTTGCCAAAAAAAGGCATCTGTGTTTACCTGCACAGTGTGTAGTTTAGCTTTGTTTGATTTTGGTCACTCCAACACAGTAAATATGAAGGGGTGATAGCTTTACACTTATTTCCTTCCTGTGTTTGAAGAAGTATCAGCCTGAATTTGCTTCCAGAGAATAAAGAAAATCCAAAATATTTGCAGGGTGACCTTTGATCTTCTCTTATTGCAATGTTATTGCCAAACTAGGCTTAACACCCAAGGACCACAGCTCTCAGACGACTTCTTCCTTTCTATACAATAAGCTCTTGCTCTCCTCTCTAGATTATAGGAACTAGGTTGCAACACACTAATCAGTGGGTGGTATCAGTATAACAAATATTGTAGTTTAAGAAGAGAAGGCAGGCACAGACATGGGGTTTGCAACCCAGGACAGCGCTCTGGAGCTCACTGTCCTGTACTCTGCTTCTGGCAGTTACCAGTATTTGAACAGGGAAAACAAAATTCACGTCATCTCTTCAGATGCTGATGACTGGTATCACTGACATTGGCAGAACTGGCCCTGCTTGATGATTTTGTAACAGCAGTGGATTTTGGCTTACAAGATACTTCAACAAACACGCAGTGATAATCCTGACTTGGGAGGGAGCAGGGGTTGCAGTTAAGAAGGCAGGAGCTCCTGAAACATGTACAACGGCTGCAGGGGAAAGCGACACACACTGTCCACAGCACTTCTGGGATGCTTTATCTTAATGTGGCACAGAGGCCACTGCTGAGGGACACCATCATGAAGCCCATGAGACACCTGCTCCACACCAGTGGCATGCAACACAAAGGCATCAAAAGACTCTGTGTGCTGCGAAGCTGAACACTGCTGCAAAAGGAGCTACACATCTGCTGCCTGTGTGCAGGCCACACCGAGGGAAAGTGGAAGAAAATGAGGAGAGGTTTTATCTTCCTTATTTCCTTATCCATTACTATCTCTATATCCCTATAGTACAGGCACACACAAAGGAAGACTATCAAGAAAGGAGCTGACATGATAATAGACTGGCATGCAGCTGAGAGAGAGAAATGAAAGAGAGACATCTATGATGCTGGGCAATTTCTAGCTGAAAAAAAAAATATTAAGAGACAACAGCCAGAATAGAAATTAGTTATAGAAACTCAGAAAAGTATCACTGAAGCCAGCAGATCCAGTTTTTCAGCCACAAGCAACCCAACAGATTAGCATTTTGCACAGAAATATCCCTACAAAATCTGCAGTTACAGACCATTCAAGTCCAAGTTGAGCTCAGACATTACAAGACAACTCTTATCTGCTTTACCTGCAAATATATCGAAAAACCTCAGGTATAACAGTACTGCAATGTTATTACAAGAAAAATTCCCAATGCCTAGAAATTCAGAAATTAAGGCTCATCATAAAATGATGGAAGAGTCTCCAAGATCACCTGGTTCCAATGTCCCTGCTGTGGACAAGGACATCTTACACTTGCTAGGTTGTCAGAGCTCCATCCAGCCTGGTCTTGAACACTTCCACGGATGGAGCATCCACAACTATTCTGGGCAATCTGTTCAGTGTCTTACCACCCTCACAGTAAAGAACTTCCTAATATCTAACCTGAACTTACTGTCACTTTAAAACCATTTCCCTTTATCCCATGACTACTCTACCCAAGGACAGAGTGGAGGTACTCCTTCTGCAGATGTAAATCAGTATTTCTGCCAGGTCAGGACTGGGCTTGCCACCTACATGACATAAACTGTTCATACTTTCCCAAAACATCTCAAATAATAATCAGAGGTGTGGATTAGCAGTAATGACCAGCAGCAGAGAGGTTAGTATTATTCCTTCAGAACATAACTAAAGACAAGTTAAAGAGTAGCCACAGCCATCCAACCCCTTGGCCTTTGCTGACATTGCCTTGTTCAAAGGTTGGACATGTAGCTTCACAGCTGCAATGCAACTTTATTTCTAATCATACAACCCTCTTGCACTCTGCTACAGCTCAGTCGCTAGATAAAAGAAAGTCAAGCCATCATCTACAGTAAGAATCTATTTGAAATAAAATTTGCACTGCATACCTAAGAAGGAAAAATCCATGGGAGCTCTCAGTACTTTCTACTACTTCACTTTAATAACTATGCCAAGAGCAACAGATTTCCTCTTGGACAGGAGACCAAGTTCTTTAGCTTGTGCTCAATGCACCCTCACACCAGCTGAAGGTACTGAGCTGTCACAGGCGAACAGCTCATCCAAAGCTCACTCAGACTAGACTCTTCTCTGTGCTTCAAGCACAAAGACAGAGAGGCAGCCAGGACTGCACATGAGGGCACAGGTCGTGTCAAGCAGCAGCCAAAACCATTGTTGTGTTGTTTGCTCTCATCACACAGTGACACCCAAGGTGGGCAAGGGGACTGTTGACAGAAGACAACGGGGGGAGAAAAAGCAGAAAACATGGTCACGGATACCCACAGGTCTCTACAAAAGCACGTGTATGTGAGAATAGGAACATGTCAAACGAGGACTGGAAACTATGACAGTGAAACCACAAACAAAAAAGCAACAGAAGCTACAAGTAGTGGTGGCCTGGTGTAAACTTGACAGCAACCGCAAGTTCTTCAGCTCTACATCTAATTTGTAACACAAATAATAACTAACTGGCAATGAAAATCCACAAGCTCCAAAACTCATGTGTCAGAAAGGTGCAGCAGGAGCAAAGGAAGCAAGAAGAGACAGGCCATGAAAAGAAGCCTCTCTGCCTGCCCTGCACTACCTTTCTGTACATCTGCCCAATATGCACAGGGCTACCGCTGGCTGGCAAGGAGAGGAATTCACAAGCAGTTACAGAGACCCAGGGAGAAACCTGCAAAGCTGATGACCCCAGCAGCTGCTGGGGGGCTGAAAACATGGCTTCAAAGTCCTCCTTTGCCGGTTTGAGCTGCCCTCTGCACAAGCCGTGAGTTTTTCAAATTGTATGACTCAAGAGCAGTAAACTCTGAAGAATAAAGCAAGTATTTCAGTTGTCTGTCAGTCACGCTATCTGTTCTGCCAGTACCTCACGGGAGACCACAGCAATGACCCAAGTTCTCTTTGTCTGGGTGAGCAGGAGGCCAGGAATGCCAAGGCATCAGCTTCCTACTCCCAAAGAAGCAGAATGGGCATTTGTTGCTCTTACTATTGACATCTTCCCAACACAATGTGGGGTAGATACTGCAGGAGGTGAACAGATGAAGGCTGCTGTAGCTGTGACAGTGAGAGGAAGAAAACACAGGTTTGCTCTGCACAAATGCAACTACAAACTGGTCCCCAACTGGCCAGGTCAGAAAAGACAGCTATTTTTGGAACCCAGTGCAAAGGAAGACACTGAACATCCATGCGCAGAGCTGCACATAAAGTCAGAGAACACAGCAATTAATGGCAAATCCTTGCCTAGCAACACAATAACTTTCCCATGTAAGGATATCCCCTGTGATATTAAGCAATGGAAACCACAGCCATGAAGGGGTGACACTTTCATTGAAGGACTCAGAAATACCTTAAGGTATTTCAGAAGTACCTTAATATTTCAGAAATACCTTAAGATATATTTCCTAACTTACTAGGGCCCAAAATTATATTAACTTGAAAACCAAAAAATATACTTCAGTAATGCCTATGGAATCCAATACAATTCACAGATGATTAAACATCATATAACATTTTTAAAGGCTGGCTCTGGGGGATGCTGATATAGTTAACTGGTGACTGAGAGAAAACCTCAAAAACTTTGCACAGACTTACACATGGATTTAGGTGGTCTACTTGCTATACAGCAAGGTTATAACAGAATTCCAGCAAGGCAGTGCATTGACAATACTTCACCTTTACCGAGAAAGGTTCATTATGTAAACTCCCCAAACACATTAACAATTCTTTGGCAGTATTACTGAGTATGTATGATTTATGAAGAAGAAAGAATCGTTCGTTTCAGGTGCCCTTAGGCTGTAAAGGAGATGGGGTGAGGAGGGAGTGCTGTTCTCAATAGAAGAACTAATTGCAAGAATCATGTGCCCACAGATACGGAAGGAAATGCATGCTAGAGTCACTTCCAAAAAGATAATTGGAAGCATTTCTGCTACAAAAACTCAGCATCGGTGAACTTTTCTCTCAAATTCACATTTGGATAAAATACACTCGGGCTACTGCAAATGCCCAGGACGTACTACCTGATTTCCCCTGAATATCCTTCACTAAATGATCTTATTTATTTTTAGGCTGTTCTGTAGCACTAATTACCATAGTAACTGAGAACAGCACAACGAACAATTAATTTATTCATCACAACACCCTTGTTAAGAGACAAGTATTATCATCATTATATTCTTTCATCATCTAAGAAAAGAAGTGCTGAGAGACAAAGCTGCTGGTCCAAGGTCATGCAAGCACCACCCAGATTGCATCAAAGTTCCAGCACAATTTCATCACAACTCTACTTTTCACCTCAGGAGCCACAGGGCAGAGGTGACACATTCTTTTCTGCAACAAAGCTCAGAAACCTGCACATTTTTCCCCACTTCTTTCAGCTGGCAGCATCTCCATGGTATGCCTAGGATTTGGGCGGGAGGCTTTCATTTAACGTACTTGCTTTTTCACAGATTATGAAAAACACGAGAGCCTGTGCCCCAGAAGCTACGTATCTCCACAGACACAGTTCATCCACCATGCAGATACAACTGAGAGACTATGTGCATTTTGAGGGACACAAAGCTAACAAAAAAACAACGAAGTAAATCCATTCTTCTCTCCAGAATTACCTGTTTTCCAGGAACCTTCCTGTAAGCCAGGCAGCCTACACCCACCATCCTTTCCATTTCATTATTCACAATTACACAGAAATATTGCAGAAGGAAAAAGCCTTAGCCAAAGCCTTAGCCAGTGCAAGCTGTGACTGCTCCTTTAGCTTTAATTCAGTCCCATGCCAAGATAAGCATCTTGGTATACACAGTCCTGGATGCATAAAGCCACAAAAAATAAAGCTGAGTGAAACTGTGATATATGAGTCTGTAATATCCTATGAACCAGCACCAGGGGATCCATACTGATGGCAAGTGAACCTGCTATGGATGATCCCGACAGTACACATTGGACAGAACGCCAGTTTGTCCTGCCCCTCAGGCAGCTGAGAAATCAGTGCTGGATCACAAAAAAGGAGCCTAGTTGCAACGTATCATTCCACAGCATTTACCTTAGAAATTGTCACCAGCCAGCCCTAGGAAGAGGAGACAGAGGAAGAAAGGTCACCTACAGGAATGTAATGAGATGTAGACATTTATGGGTTTGGAGCAAAAATAGATCAGGTGAAAACACTAGCCTTTGGTGTTTAGAGAAAACAGAGAGAGACTCACATGCTGCTCCGTGTTCCATCTCACATGACCAGCTGCGCTGCTCCCTCTTTTTATCTGCAAACTTGGACACGTCCACATTCCCTGCCTCCAAAGACCTTATTTTGGTCAAATATGACCAGGATAAGCTGCACTTTGTTCCAACAGCAAACACTACTAATCACCTGCAACGTGCCAGGTCAGCAAACATTTCGTTGTGCTGAGGCAGAACAGTACAGCTGTTCTGTATGATATGCTCATCAGACAGTTTCACATGAGGCACTTTACAAGTGAAAAACATTATCTGACTTTAAAATATTCCACAGAAATATGCCCATTTCACACAGGCAGAGACAGAGAGCGGACAGCTTTCCTACTTCCTAGCAGCCCTCTGTGCAGATGGATCCTAGAGGCCAGGTGGTGGGAGCATGATCTGCTCCTCATCAGCCCAACGGATCATATCTGCAGGTTTTTGACAAGGTCAATTGTCAAGCTGTCCCAGAGCTATGGTTCTCTATATATTTTCTAGTCCCCCTCCATGCTGGCTGGAAGAGCACCCCCAGGTGCAACTCTGCCCTGCTAAAAGGAGGGTGATGATACTTCTCACCATTCCTGCTGTTTTAAGTTTCCCTTTTCTCCATGAAGGGTGAGTGCACTAGCAGGATGAAAGACATGACTGTGGTCAAGACATATCACATCTGAAAATGTTCCAGTGTGGGATATAAAAAGGCTCCTCGAATTTTGCAAATAAACAGAATCTCCAGCATTCACAGCATCCCAGAGGATGATGCTCATTTCTACAGCCCACTCTGGGCACAATGCTTGCAAGACTATTAGCACTTCTTCAGTTTTGTTGGCTGATCTTAATTATGACTGAACTCACTTCACCCCCGGATCAGAGGAATGAAAAGCCAGGTTTTTCCACTACCAAGTGAAAGATCCATTTGCCATTCAAATCAACACCAAAAGATGACAGTGGAAGGTGTGGTGGGAAAAAGAGCAGCACCAGTAACTTTTTATGACCAGGACATAAGGGGCAAGTGGTTAGGTAGTTAGTAGAGATTTACAAACTGCTTCCCTAACTTAAAATAAGGTCACAAGTTAAGCCACTGAGGCCGAAATCCCACAAAATACGCGAGGAGCTGCTAGTGCTAAACTCACACTCAGTAACATCTTTCACCCTTTTCCTAAGGGATTTTCACTTATGGCAATATGACATACTACTGTAGCATTCATACCGCTGAGAGAGGCATGAAGCACCTGATAACTTAAACTACAAATTTTAGTCTCCCATTACAGCTTTATGCTTCATCTGCCATTGATAGAATTTGCCTGATACCTAAATAGAAACTTAATTAAAAGATTCTTCCCTCCCTCCCCTGACAATCTGGTATTAGACTTATAAAATACATCATAAAAAAAAAAATTAAATAAAGCTCAAATGTGGACTTTTCTCACTGATACAGGTCAGTGGGTGACTGAGTCTATTAAGACACTAGTCTGTAATTACAAGATAGAGTGCTACAACCCTCCAAGGTCATTGAGTGTATTTTGATAAAACTAGGATAAAATCTACCTGTCTACGGGCCCAAACAGTAAAGAAAGGAATCAATGCTCACATTTTCATACACTGTCTATACAACGCAAAAACTGCAAACTCGATTTCACACTTACCTCAGGAAACAAAAGCCCTTCAAACGACAGTTTTAACTGCTGTGACTGCTCTGTGCCCTCATATCCCCCCCGCCACCTGCTTAACATGGTGTCTGCTCTCTGCACTCACCCAGCACAGCTTCCCCAAGGACCTGACTATGTGACCCACCTCCACATGGCTGTTCTCATGGCCTGGGGTTTGCTTCTTCAAGTGCAGAAAGAGGTTGTTTCCTTTTTTTTTGCTTCAGAACAAGTGTGGGGAAAAGCACAACAGACCTGGGAGAGCCCCAGTAATATATCCTTTTACATTGAAATAAATGGAATTAAGAAATTGGAAAATACTTTGTTAAAAGCCACAACAGTAAGTAAGGAAATTATCTTCTTTCATACACCATAATTAGTAGAATAAGGTCTGAAAGAGATTAGAAGGGCACAGGGAGCTTTGTTCATCTTTTTACCTGTCTCCTGCAATCTAATCGGGCAGCACAAAGGATCAAAGCCCCCTGTTTATCAACAGAGAATGCCTAACAGCTGTGCCAATGCCAAACCACCACTTCCAGGAGTTTATCTTCACAAGAGAGGGGAAGACAGCCAACTAATATGCCTCCTCAAGGTCAACAGCTCTGTCATTTTATAATGCAGACAAATCATGATCTTCATGAAGTTTTGGCCTCTGATAAGCACTACAGCTACTCCAGGTCACAGCACTGGTCATTCAGGTTTGAAGATTACACCAAAAGGAACTGGAACTGATCCAAAAGCTCCTTTCTTATTGGAAACTAATCATTCACCCCGTAACATTCTGTCAACTTGTAATATTAATACCACCTTTGCTTCCTGGATTTTGGGAACAGTCCAACTCTCACTGCAAATATGGATCACAAGCAGAGTTCGATCAAGCCTAAACTGCATAATATTGATTATTTCCTATTTCATGATTTATCTCTCTGTCTTTAGACCAGTAAAATCCTCCAAAGAGATGTAGCAGGCTATACCGGATAAATAATTACTTCCAGTGCTTTTCCAAACCACACGTTTCTACCTGTGACTATACACTCCATAAGCTCCAGTTCAGACAAGTCATGAAACACATGACTTGACATTAGCCAGGGAAGTTAATGGGATGACACATGCTCTTGAGGTTAGCTGCACATTTACATACTTAACACATGATCCATCAACACCACCAATACAGAACCCCGGTGCCAGAAGCCACAGGCACATCAAGGTAATTTCCAAGTGCTGACACCTTTGCTTCCCCTACACCATGCTGAAAAGACGTGATCTGAAGAAACACAATGGCAACTTTCCCAAAATAGCTGCAACTAAACAAACTGGTTACACATCAGCTATCCCAACCAGCTCCACACGTTCCCACAAAGCCCCAGTACCACCAGCTGAAACTGCAGATTAGTGGTGAGACAACAAACGAACACCAGGAATGGCTCCCAGCTCTATCCATGCCCATGAGAGAAACAAGACTCCCAAGGATCGACTTCTAGAATGAAGCCTAGACAGAGTGAGGGGATTTGCACCCAGTCTCTCCATCATATGAACCAGCACTGTTTTCAGACAGAAGTAGTCTTGCAGCTAAAAAAAGCAGCGCGATGATCGTAACTCAGGTCAGCACTAGCACAGCCCTCTCTGGTGGGCTGAGATAAATTACAGCTCTGGGACACCGAGCTCAGAGCTGCTACCCCTTCGGCTGGGGCAGGCACGCTGTGGTGGGGACTGGCAATAGGCTGCTCAAATGCCCAGGCACGGGAAGATGAACTATTCCTAGCAGGTTTATGTGAAACCTACTATTGCTTTCCTTCACAGAGATGGTACTCAATTCCAAGAGCCACTCCCGTAGCTGCATGAAGTTTATCAGACCTGCCAAGCTTTCTTACATTGAATTTCATCTTTTACAGTGAGTTTGAAAGTTTACGCTAGACATCGCCCATCATACTTCCGCCAGTCAAAATCTGTTTTTGAAAGATCCTGGTGTGAAAATACACTCCATTTGGCAGCACTTAAACTAACAGTTTACAGCATTTTTGCTGTATGAAGGAGTACAAATGCTCAGGAAGGACTGTGTTATGCCACATTAGAGCAAAACAATCAAAGTGAAGCAAACTGTTTCACACCTCTTAATTTTGTGCTTGGTTCTGCAGTTCTTGCAATGTAACAGCAGAACTTAGACAAGGAAACTAGAATAATGCTGCTAATGCTCAACACATCATCACAATCCTGATAGTCTATGGCCACACTGAGTCCTAGGCTCACAGGAGTACGTTCAATCAAGTCAATAATCTGTAAAAAGAAGGATGCTAGTCCTGTTTATCTGAAGAAAAGTCTGAAAAGATCAACTTCAGATCCTAGTTAGGTAGGACCCCTAAACTTCAGTCTCTGATTTGCAGGCCAGTCTCGTGATTTCTGCATGAGAGTTTGAGCTAACTCAAGAAATGAAGTTTTGAGGTGAACAAACTCATTGGCAATTTCAGATCAAATTATGCAAATACTTTCTCCTTCAGGAAAAATGGAAATTTCCATCACGTCAGCTCATTTGAACTTCCACTTCAATTTGACTGTCTTCTTTCAGAAGAAATTTATAAAAAGGTAATGTAAAGGGCAAACAAAGATTTTTGTACTGACTCTGGAACCATTTTTCTTCTGATATGGTGAGCCACTGGCTGAGCCAGAAGTCTCTCTCACACCACTCCACCGCTGAACGTGGCATGCTTAAGTCTACTGATGCAGAATGACTTTTTGTGCTTTCCTAGTCTAACAAAGGCAAATGAGATACACTGAAACTATTAACTGTAGTTTTATGGAAGTGTGTTTTTAACAATTGTTACTCAGCTTTTTTTGGCTGTTGGCTTAAAAATAGAATCACACACGGGGCATTTTCAACATAGAAGTTACATTTCGTGATATGACCAAAAGCTGAAGAGGACTATGTAGTCAATAGGATTGCTGATTTTTACAAGTGTTTCTTGCAAGGGATCTGAAGGATCTTACAGCAAAAATGCAGGTCATTTCACAGATGTCTTTAAAAAAAAAAAAAGAAAGTCACACTCAACTGGTGATGTTGGGGTAATTGTTGAGGTGAAGCAGGTAAAGAAGCAGGAAGGGCCTTTGCGAGGGTTTTACAGAGATGTTTATTGCAGCCACACATGTGCACAGTCCCGAAGTTCAGAGATAAAGGCAAAGGCAAGGGGACTGGTCTCAGAGTCCAGGTTAAGTACATGGGGGTTTTGGGGCAGGGGAAATAGTATCAGAGACCAATTACCAGGGGTAATGGGGGTGTTACAAGGATGGGATTAGGGAATGGGGACCAACAAAGAAATAGGGTGGGAGTGACCAGAAAGCTGACAAACAGGGAAAGGGCACAGGGCTGACCCAAGAAACAAGACAAAGGTTGTTCTGACCTGATAGAACAGGATTTGCTATCAAAAGGAGGAGGCTGAGAGAGGGGCCTCTCACATCTTTCTAACTGGGAGTGCCTTTCAAGGTCTCCACACTCATCCCAATGTTGTCCAACACATACATCCCAAGATTATTAATTACATGAGGCCTTACATCAGAGAAGTCTTACCAAGTATTTCCAATATGGATTTCACCTTGAATACAGTGTTCAGGTCTGATCCCCTCACTACAAGAACATTGAGGGGCTGAAGTGAGTCCAGGGAAGGGCAGCAGAGCTGGTGGAAGGCCCAGAGCACAAGTCTGATGAGGAGCAGCTGAGAGAGCTGGGGGTGTTTAGCCTGGAGAGAAAGAGGCTCAGGGGAGACCTTATCCCTGTCTAAAATTGCCTGAAAGGAGGTTGTGATGAGGTGGGGTTTGGGCTCTTCTCCCAGGTAACAAGTGACAGAACAAGAAGCCTCAAGATGAACCAGGAGAGGCTTAGATTAAATGTTAGGAAAATATTTATTCACAAAAAGGATTG